GGGGGTGGGGAGGGAGGCTGGGGGATAAGGGGGCACGTCTGGGTGTTTGCGTATCAGTTCCTTGTTTCAACCGCAACTGAAACCGAGTCTGAAAGTGCCATTTCTGCTTTTGCCACTGAGTCCTCTCACCACTGGTCTATAAATAACCTCTTCCCTCCAGGCCAGGACCCTGTCTCGGCCCCATGGCAGGCCCTCCTGGGAGCCGTGGGCCAGAGTGAGCAGCAAGGCAGCTGTCTTCATCCTGGCCAGGAAGGAGAGGGCAGAGAGGGCCGGATGACTCCTGGCAGGCCCGCAGGACTGAGTGAGACCCCTGCACTGCTGGGACTATAGAGGTCACCCTCTGCCCTGCTGAAAGGTCTCTGCCGCCAGCTCAGAAGGAGGACTTGCCTTGTCCCCTCAGATGGTCACTCCCCAAGGAGCCGGGAGCCAAGTCAGCTGGGCCCCAGCTGGATGTGGGCCCCCACCCAACCCTGGAAACAACCAGGTTGTCCCAAGTACCACCAGGGAGCAGGGTGTCCAGCATCAGGCCTCCCCCTCCCCCACTGACTTTCAGGAGAGGCAAACTACAAAGTCCTGGACTGGGCCAGGCAAAGAGCATGAGAGGCAATCTCAGAGGGACTTCCCTCACCCCCCAAAAGGGCCTTTGGGCCCTGAGACGCCACAGGCAGACAGGCAGGCCAGAAGTCCTGCTGCTCCAGTCCCCTCCTTGGTCTCAGAGCCTGCCCAGACCCCTCTCGGGGCCACAGACTCCAGAGTGATCACCACCTCTTCCTACTCCGGGACCAAGAAGGCTAATCAGCTGAGCGGGTACTGCAGATCTGCCCACTCACTGTGGCCATGGGAATCCTGTGTGTCCCTGGGCTAGACCTGGTATCTCAGGGCCAGGGTGGACTGGGAGACCCCTGTGGGGCAGGGCTCCAAGATCCCCAGTCCCGTGGTGGGCAGCGTGGGGTACTGCAGGCACCATAGTCCTGACAGAAGGTGCCAGACTTCTCAACCTGCAGGACACTGGGCAAGGGCCTGGCTGTCAGTGGGCTGGGGAGTCAGGGTCCTGGCCATCCAGCTGCACCAACTGAGGAGCAAACAGGTCATCTGCCGGCTGACGGAGGCTGCATGACCCTCTGGGCCTGGGGTTCCTGGAAGGCTGGGGTCATGGGGAGGTGGACAGCAGCACCAATCCAGGGCCATGGGCCTGGCTCCTCCCCAGCTGCCCCTAGCCTCGCTGGCACATACCTCTGGGGGTCCTGCCTTGGCGTCCATCCTGGCTCCAGCTGCAGACTGCTGGCCCTCAGTTTGCGGGCGGGCTCAGTGCTGCCTCCGACCACGTGCCCACCTGCCTCCTCCCCTTGCCTCCACCCACTTTCCTTTCACCTGGCTTCTCGGGTAGCCCCACTGCTTCCCCTTCCAGCCACTTCCTCTACCCCAGCACTCCCCTCCCACTTTCTGATGGCTGGGGCTGGGTGGGCGGGCTTGAGGGTGGGGCTGAGAGCCTTCACCTCCAGGGAACACCCACCCTGCCTCTAGAGGGGAGGCACTTCACACTCACAGGCCCACCATCAGTCAAACTTGACTATGAGCCACAGAGACCCAGGAGCAGCGGCTCCAGCAAGATTGTTTAGATCATGCTGCCCGGACCCAGGGGCCAATGGTCTAGGAATGGCACCGGTTCCCAGCTACTGGGAGCCAGGCCCTCCAGCTCTCAGCTCCCATCCCTAGGACCCAGCTTCATGACTTCATAAGGGCTGTGGGAGCTCACCCATTGCCTCTGTGCTCCTAGCGGAGAATAAGGGACGTCCCAGAGGAGACTTCCTGGAAGTCCCACAGGGCACTTCCATTTACTTATCTGTGATCTAGAAATTGATCCAGAACATAGTCAAATGGTTACACTTAGCTGCAAAGGAGGCTTGCAGGTGGAGACAGCTAAGCCCTTCAACCCAGAGAACATAGGTGGGGCCGCTCACTGGCCTGTCCGAAAAGGAGGCCGGCTAGAGATTCCCAGCAAGGGGCTCTGCCTCATCCCATCATCCCTCCCCCTCCCATCTGGGAATCCTGAGTACAGGACCCTGCAGTACCTCATGCTGGGACTTTGAGAACAGCATCCCCACTTTGCATGAGGTCTGGGTATCCACCGGGTAGGTGTCTGCACAGAACAGGGGTGCAGGGTGCTGCCCTCAGGGTGCCTGCGGGGTCACACCACTCAGGTGGTGCAATTTCCAAAGGCAAGGCCTGATGACTGCATCCCAGGACAGTCTGGGTGGGCAGGGAAGTTGAATGGGGAAGAGAACCCCCTACACATCCCCACAGATTCCTTCACCAGCTGACCTGCTAGGGTCAGTCCCTGCCTCCAGGCCACAGTCAGGGCCGCTTCTGCTTGCTGGCTGGGGTGCTGGATACTTGAATGCAGCTGTGCCCTAGGCATCCCCTTGAGGTTTGGGCCCTCCAGGGACTCTGGGTGATGGTGTATACGGGGAGGGGCAGCCAGGTGGGCCCCGCTGTGACATTTTCAGGGCTGGGGCACAAATATGAAGGGAGCCCACTGTCCCCCTGGATGCAAGTTAGACAGTTAGACATAACAGGTTCTCTTCTCTTGTCTTGACAACCATGGTGCATGAGGGCCTAGAAGACGGGCAAGGGGAGGACCCTGGGATTCCTTGGAGCACTCCCAGAATAGTCAGTGGAGGAGTGCCCACTCCCACAGGCCATTCTGACTTCCCACATTGTGAGGGACTTCATGAGTCTGTGTCACACCCAGCCCATGGATCGGGGCTTATCCACAGCCACAGAAAATCACTTTGCTTCCCAGCTACTCCTCAGGACTGGACACAAGAGTGGCAGTGTCACAGGATGGATCCAGGCTTGGGGACATTTGAGCAGGGAGTCCTGGGCCCTGGGATCTAGAAGGGACACAGGAGCTCAGAGGATCTGCTCTTTTGACCCCTCAGATTGCTTACCTGTGAGAAGGACCAGGGCTGGAAGGGGCCCTCTAGAGCTCAGGGCCCAGTGCAAGCCCTTTGGAGGTTCCAAGACTGGCTGTGCATCCAGGACCCATCCAGAGGACCTCACCAGCTCTGCTCTCTCTGTAGCCAGCCTTGCCCTTAGGTCCAGGGCCCTTGGCAGCCAGAGGGTGATAGAGAGGGATTTAGGAGATTTCCCATAAAACAAAAACACTTCTTAAATTTCCTTTTTGTTGGAATTGTCTTTGTAGGGGAGACTCATTTGTCACCAGGGCCAAAGTTTTTTTGTTTGTTTTTTTGTTTTTTTTCTCCCAAACAAGTAAAGGATGTCAAAGTTGGCTTAAGGAGCTACTTAAGCCCACAGTAAGCATTTCATACATAAAGATGCCCTCAACTTACAATGGGGTTATGTCCTGATAAACCATAGTAAGTTGAAGTTGAAAATATGTAGGTTGATAACCAAGAAAAAAAAGAGAGAAAAGCCAGATAAACAAAATCAGGAATGAAAAAGGAGACATTACAACCAATTTTACAGAAATACAAAAGACTATCAGAGACTATTATGAATAACTATCACTAAAAAACTGGAAAATCTGGAGGGAATGGATAAATTCTTGGAAACATACAACCTATCAAGATGTAATCAGGAAGAAAGAGAACAGTTGAACAGACTAATAATGAGTAATGGGATTGAATAGGGAATAAAAGGTCTCCCAGCAAAGGAAAGTCCAGGATTGGAGTGTTTCACTACCAAATTATACCAAACTTGCAAAGAAGAACTAGCACAAATTCTCCTCAAACTGTTCCAAAAAATTAAAGAGGGGACTATTCTCCTTAACTCTTTCTATGAGGCCAACATTACCCTGATATCAAAACTAGACAACAGCACAACAAAAAAAGAAAACAAGCCAATATCCCAGATGAACATAGATGCAAAAATCCTCAAGAAAATAATAGCAAGCTGAATCTAATAGGACATCAAAAATATAATGCACCATGACTAAGTGGGATTTATCTCAGGGATGCAAGGATGGTTCAACATACGCAAATCAACAAACATGTTGCATTACATCAACAGAAGCGACAGAAACCATATGAATATCTCAATAGATGCAAAAAATCATTTGATAAAAGTCAAATTCCTTCATAATAAAAACTTTCAACAGCCCAGGTGAAGAAGGACCATACCTCAACATAATAAAGGCCACATATGACAGACTCACAACTAGCAACATACTGAATGGGGGAAAACTGGAAGTCTTTCTTCTAAGAACTGGAACAAAACAAGGATACACACTTTTACCACTTCTATTCAACATAGTACTAGAAGTACTAGCCAGAGCAATCAGACAAGAGAAAGAAATAAAAGTCATTTGAATTGTAAAAGAGAAAGCCCAATTGTCCCTCTTTGCAGGTGACATAATCTAGAAAGCTTAAAGACTCACCAAAAAAACCCAAAAAATCTTTTAGATCTGATAAACAAATTCAGTAAAGTTGCAGGATACAAAATCAACACACAAAAATCAGTGGCAATTTTATACATCAATAATGAATTAGCTGGAAAGAATCAAAAAGGCAATCCTACTTACAAAAGATACAAAAAACCCTAGGAATACATTTTACTAAGGAAGTAAAAGTTCTCTACAAGGAAAGCTATAAAACACTAGTAGAAGAAATTGAAGAGAACACAACAAATAGAAAGACACTTTATGCTTATGGGTCAGAAAAATTAATAGTTAGAATGTCCGTACTGCCCAGAGTAACCCATATATTTAATATAATTCTTATGAAAATACCAATGTAATTTTTCTCAGAAATAGAAAAACAAAATCCTGAAATTTATACAGAACCAAAAGCAAGCCTAAATAACCAAAGCAACCCTGAGCAAAAAGGACAAAGCTGGAGGATTCACACCACCTGACTTCAAAATATATTACAAGGATATAGTTGCTAAAACAGTATGGTATTGGTATAAAAACAGACTTATAGACCAATGGAGCAGAATAAAAGAACCAGAAATAAATCCACATATTTATAGCCAACTGATTTTTGACAAAAGCCCCAAAAAGATACGTTGGGGAAAGGGCACCCTTTTCAATAAATGATGATGAGAAAACCGGACAACCATATGCAGAAGAATGAAACATCCCTGCCCATGAAGAGAGCCAAAAGGGCCGTTCACTTGGCCTCACAAAATCTTCACATGGCACCCCTGCTGTCTGGTCCTGCTGCTATGTACCCTCCACTTCATGGAAGAGACCCTCTGAGCCTTTCAGTCACTCAGCATTCGGCCTTCGCTATGCAGGATCTACCCCAGGATGGAAGGTGTCCAGGTTGCCAGAGCACCCTGGGGTTTGATTCTTGCCCCTGGGTGACAATATGGAGGCCACAGGGAGAGCTCCAGTGCATGAGGAGTGTCTCTCCCTTGGGTCCGAGGATCCCTGTCCTTCGGCCGGAGGGCATGGTCCACGCACGTGTGCTGTGGTCACTCATCTACTCACATTGTACCGTGTGTTACTGTTTTTTTCCCTTGCTGCTGCCTTTTTTTTCTGCTTTCCAGTCTACTATTGATATCGTCGGATTTTCTTATTACCTCTATCCCACATCTCCGATGGTTTGAAAATTATATTCTCTCTGTTTGAAATTAATTTATTACCAGCCTAGGCAACCCAGCAAGACCTCATCTCTAATAATTAAACAAACAAATAAATACAGAGCAAAAAAAATTAGCGGGGCATGGTGGTGCACACCTGTAATCCCAGCTAGCTTGAGAGGCTGAAGCAGTAGGATCCCCTGAGCCCAGGAGTTGGGGGCTGCAGTGAACCATGATTGTACCACTGCATTCCAGCCTGGGTGACAGAGTGAGACCCCGACTCAAAAAAATAAATGAAATAAAATGAATGAATGCACACAAAATACTATATAAGCTATATGTGGTAATACCAACAATAGTAATAAGACAAACACCTTGTATCCAGCACCAATGTATGACTCAGAGTGTCACCAACACTTCCTGATTCCCGCCACATCTACAGCGATCATCTCTCCTCCCCACTCCCAATGTCATCTCTATTCTGAAACTTGGACTTTTCATTCCCTTGACTTTCACAATCATCTTGCTGTGTGTGTATTTCTCTCCTAACAGAATATTGCTAATATTTGGACTTTACAATTCTTCGGTAACTTGCTTATTTCATGCAGGTGCATGGGTGCCAATCCTGGCTCCTGAGGATCTTTGGGGAGGGAATTTTATACAAAACCAGAGAAGGTAATATGAGGTTGTTTTCCAAGTGTGGGATTATTCTT